GTTATTACAATGGTTGGTTCAGTGAAACGCCTTCATTTGCAAGAAAGTGAAATTTCGATGTTTGGGTTTGGAAAAAAAAAGAAATATTCTTAAACGCATTGCTTGTTTTTATCTTCATACACATTAGAAAACCACATCGTAAATCACATTCTAAAGGCATGGTGTATCTTCTGTAAAATACAAATTGTTTGTTGTACGTAGCACATGTTTTTGAACAATTCATTTATTAAGATTGTACCCCGGCCTTCTAACGCCCGTTACTTTGAATTTGAGGTACATATTTTAAACACTCATTTCAAAAACGGAGACATAAGGTTGTGAACAACTCTTTCTGAAATAATATCATTATACATAAGCTATTTAAAAAATACAAAAATATTGACAATCTAAGATACTTTAAAAATCACTTTATTTCATTGTGAAATTGTACCCATTTTTGGAGAGTCACTGATTAGATTAATAATATTGTATCAGCAGTAATGCGCTTGAATCCTAGGTTCCATCCCATCTCGAATACCAGCCACAATCCCAATAAAGACATCATTAGTGGTTAGTTTCAGGGATTAGAATTCACTGTCAGAATTGAAAAAAATGGCAACCATGCTTAAATGTTTTTATCACATTATTATAATATGCAAAGAATTCTTTATTTTTGGCTAAGAAAACTCTGCTACTCTAATTACAGTTCAAGAACAGTCTGCTGTCCGAGGTCAAAGGTGAAATGTCAACGACACGGAATGCCAAAATGTTACAACTGCAACTTCAGTTCGCGACAATGAAATACGGAGTTTGAAAATGGAACTGTTGTTACAGAACGGTAGTCACTATTTATGTACCTTTACTTAATATATGTACTTATACTTAATTTAATTTATTGCTGAAGTTTCCTTACCTTGATTTGTCTTGCTTTGTGTTAGTTTTCTTACTCTTGCCCAACTTTCTTGCCTTTTCTTACATTTTTTTATTAAATGTTCCCGTTTTATTAAATCTTTCCTTTCTGTGTCTGTTTCTTCTTTTAGCAGAATGCTGTTTTGCAGAGATCTTTGTTGCCATTTATATTTTACACAATTTTTGCATGGATATTGAGGTATGAAAATCATGACTTCTTCTTGAAGTTGAAACTCTTGTCTGATTTTTATTCAAGAAAGTTAGTTGTTAAAATTTCCGTATGTATCACATTCCATTTTGTTTAAAGTGTTGCATTTATGCTCATATTTAAAGTTCCGCTAATACTGCTCCTTGGTGGTTTGGATTACTTTGTAATGGAAGGAGCAAACATGAATCATATGTATTTTTTTCAAGATGTCTACTTTTAATTGTTTTCAAATTTGCCTCATTTACGTATATTTATTGTTGTTAATAGATTTTTAATAGAAAGACAACAAATAAAGACACGTCTGAAAAAAATGTTTGTTTAACAACACAGGAGGTTTGAGCTTGTCAGTATCGAGACCAGATAAGACCAGTCTGGGTTGACTGTGAAAACCAGTCAAGGTAGACTGTTTAAATGCCAGAATTTGAAAATTTCTAAATCATTCTATCAAAATTGCTGGTAATATTATAATATCATCATTATGACAGCATGTCACTTGGACCAATTGCATATAATCTGTTGCTTATTACTTTGCTATGATTTTACATGTTGAAGACAATTTGTGTTCTGTCTTCCAGGTTTGACCTTGTTATTGTTTGTTGATTTTTACATTATTATTATTGCCTATAATGTAGATATACAATGTTTTATAAGGATTTATTAAATATTCTGAAGAAATTATCCAATTTTTGTATTGATTTTATATGCATTTTTGCTCTGCAACATGCCTCCGGATTCATACTGATTTTCATGAAAAATTAAAAAAAAAATATTCAGAAGTAAAATATTGTGAAGTGAACAAAGAAAGTAATTTACACTTGCAATCCACATTAATAACCAACAAAGAGGTCAACATATGCAGTTACGCAGTAGAAATATGGTAATAAATTCTGCAAAACCAGGCTTTAATCCAACGTTACATGTAAATCATTACATTGATCTTGATTTTTTTTTATTTTTCTTAAAAGCTTCGCCATGTTTGATTTTCTTAAAATATTTTGGTTCATCTGGAGGCATGCAGCTTTTAAACATAAACATAAGTTTAGCACAACAGTGACCCTTCTATTGTTAGAGCAATTTGAATCATTATCTATTCAATTCAGAAAAACAAATAATTCCTTAACCTTTACTCCAATGTATTTAAATTACAAATTTGAGAATAGCAGCTCTGTCCTTAGTATCTGTGAACCAAATACCATAGGCATTCGTTGGCTAATGAAAGCTATGAGGAATAGAAAACAACAGTGCTTTGTGGCGTTTCTTTGGATAGAAAGATAGATAAATCTTTATTTTTCATCAGGTTATACAATTGTTCACCAACATGGCATATAACAATATTCAATAATTTACAACATAGTTGTCTAGGAACCGGATAAAAGCTACCGACACAACAGCAACTAATAACATTTTGCATCTACATATAAGATTAAAAGCACAATTTGCTTAAGAATCGAATAAATTTTTACTTCCTTAGGAAGGGAAAGAATTGTGTTTTATAACGTTTGAATAATGTTTTTTTTTAGAATGTTAGACCCTTCTTACCTAAATAAAGTAGCGGTGAATGTGAAAATATTTGCCATGAAAGCAAAATGTAAACAAAGTAGTATTTTGACTTCGATCCAAATAACTACACGCTATAACTATACTAATTGCCAAAAATCAACAGAAGGAAAAAAGACGATTCAGATAATTTGCAGGTGAGTATTATTTTGGAAACTATAAAAGTACACCAAATATAGAAATCTTTTAAGAAATGAAAAATAACTTATTTCCTGGTCATACTGTACCTTAAATAAAATAATGTAGTAAAATGAAACAAATATCAAGAAAGATTTACACAACAAGCACAGAAATCAACGGTTACTCATATATAACATCTCAAATTAAATTGATATTAAATTTATAAATGTTTAATTTATAACTGTCAATCCCAGGATTAAAGTAAATACGATTTACTTTTCAAATACATAACATGTTTATATGTTTATTTAAACAGCCATTCTTCTAATTCAGGCTTGTTTCAAAATAAAAAAAAATAAAATAAAAAACAAACAAAAACACACACACACACATTTGCATATAACATGAATTAAATGTACGGAATAAACTGTTGATAGCCCACAATATACTGGGACCACTAAAACATTTGATAGATTTGAACTAACCACAAGCATTCGGTGCGTGGTTCTTTTAATTTCATCCATATATTCTACAAATTATTTAAAGTATATAATTATATGGATGAAATTAAAACAAACCACGCACCAACTGCCTATGGAAGTACCTAGCATCATAATGGAAGTTTAGAAAAAAAAAATCATAACTTTACAAGTTGATCGAAATTTTGTGCTGGATCCTAAAATTGATCCTTACTTTGAATGAATTATCCTTATACAGTGTTATGTTTCTATATATCAGCAATAAATTTTATCTAAAACTATGGGTTGAAATAATAATTTATCCAACCAAATCGTTTTTATTTTCATAGTCTTTGATACAGTGATTTAATTCTTTAAATCTGCACCAACTTTTCATTTAATACTACATCGTTAAATCAGCGTGTCTTACTCTAGCTTTGTTAATTTCAACCAAGTGTTTGTTATATTGTCATTAACTCCATTAAATCTGTCGCGCGACTGTGTCGCTTCAGACAGATTTAAATTCAGTAACGTTTGCTAACAAACACTTACCTGTTCAACGTTTTTTCATGTACTATAAAATTTAAGCCTGATATGACCAATGTTGGTTTCAATATAATCAGGACGTTTGGTCCTATTTGGTGAACATGGGGCCTGGATAAAATAAGAACATTGGAACCTGAATAATAAAAGAACACTGGGACCTGAATAATAAAAGAACATTGACAAATAAATGTTTCGATAGGTTCAGGACTTCTATACGATGAGTGTTCTAGTTATTTTCTGAATAAACAAGGAGAGTAACCATCACTTTCGTCAGTAAATACCAGTCAGAGTTAGTGTTCAAAGATTACACGTTAAACTGCTATTTAAATGTATTATAAGATACCATAAACATTCGAATAGCTGAATATATAATCTTATGCTCTACCAATACGCATGGGTGTAAATAGAATATCAGCTTGTAAAAAAATATTTAATCTATATATAATCTTTATTTATTCTTATATAACAAATCTATTACAATTTTCAAAACTCAAAACATTATAATATGCTATAATGGAAGTGCAATCCAGTAAAGTTTATGAGAAAGAAGACATCCGGCTTGACAACTGCTGTAACCATGATACGTCAGTGGCTCCAATGTCAAGGTCAGTGTGTTAATGCTGCCATGGTAACTAAATATATATAACATGTCCATTTACTGAAAATGAAACTGCTGCAAAAAGTACTTCAATTTGTCAGTATAATACGAAAGACTTCCTGAGTTTTCGGGTTAATTTTCTCGAATTCATAATTTTAACTTCATCAGTTCATGATTCCTACATACAGAATTCTTAATTTCAACATATAGAATTTACGAGTTTAACTTGTGAATTCAAGATTTCAACTTCATGAATTATCAAATAAAACTGAAGTCACGAATTCAAATCCATAAATTCACTATTTCAATTTCATGAATTCACAATTTTAGCTTCGTGAGGATGAAAACTTGAAATCGGGTAGTTGAAAACATGAATTCATGAAGTTGATTTCGTGAATTCGTGGAGCTTAAACAGTGAATTCATGAAGTTGCATTCGTGATTTCGTGAATTCATGAAGTTGAATTCGTGAATTCCGTATGTTGAAGAGTTAAAATTGTGAATTCACGAAGATAAAATCGGAAATTCATGCACCGGTCTTTAGATGAATTATCATATTTATAAATTAATAATAATTGTTCATTTGTTAATTACTAAAAACGTTATTCTGTAATTGAATAACAAGTCTTGTACTCAAATTTATTTATTTCACGAATAGACATGACCTTTAATAACATAATCAGATTATGTGAAATTAAGAACAATTTTTTCCCGAACAAATACAAAATTTAATTATTGTCATATAGGAGAAATCCAGTAAACGAAGACCAATATGCCATGGTTGTGCTTGGATGGCTGCATCTAGTTAGGTACACAGTGTCCCCGACATCAAGATAAGTCACAATAGACTGTGATATAGCAGCATGACCGTCTTCTGTATCAACATCAGTTGGATCAACTCTTATGTAAATCAGATCCCGTCTATTCTTGTAAAGATGACAAGTAACCCAATCAACCCTTGGTGTTGACCGTTCCTTTACCAATGTTACAGAAAAATGGTACACGCCGGATTTGCTACATGTATTAGTTCCTGTCGAGATACTAAAATCATTGCCATACTGGTAAATGGTATAAGAAAACGTCAGTTTGTAAATTCCATTGATGCTGACGTAGGTTTTTGGAGATTTCACCGAGAATGCAGACCTAAATGCTGAAATATATAAAACACATTAACATTAAATAAAATACATGAAGTAAAGGGCCCCCGGAGTCGAGAGGTCAAGGTCGCTGACTTCAAATCACTTGCCCTTCACTGTTTTGGGCTCAAATGAAGGCAGGTGATGAAACATTTTTAAGAATTAACCGCAAAAAAGCACATTTATATTTGAAGGACTGTAGTTGGTACTTGATTTTCTCTATACTGTGCCATGCTGTCATGATATAGTAAGAAAAAGTATTTTTTATAAAGTTGGCACAGGGTCTTTTTTAACACATGATTGAAACGATAAAAAGGCAATTTTAGTGTATTAAAACACAATCTAAGAGGTGCCAATTAATGTATAATAGCCAATACAGACTCCAAATATGTTTTGTACAATAACATTTTCTAACAGTCTCGTGTGTGCTGACCTGCTTCCAGCTTTCTCCTAGATCAAGTAAACATGCATTGGTTGTCTCAGGATGGAGGAAAATGTTGTTTTTTTTGTATACCAATTAGCGATAGATCAATATTCAACTGTATTTTGTTTTTGAATATCTAATAATTTGGTCAGCATATAAATCTATGTTTACGTCTTTACGTAGAAAGACGCTATATTATTGATTTTAAAGTACATGTAAAATGATAAAGGTGCATTGCGGGACATGCTGATTATGAGCATTTTAGATTGTAATCTACCAAATTCAAATAGTTTTTACAGATTTTTCAGAGGGATAATCACATTTAACTGACACAAAATTATTTCATGGTCAACAAAGTAAAAGCCTTTCTAAGATCAAAGAGTACGGCTCCAAATAATTTTCCACAGTTGACATGACTTAACCATGCATCCATCAGTATAACCGAATGTTTTTTCCTAAAGACTGTATTTCATGCATAATATCAGTACGCTCATTAAGCTAATGTAATTGCGAGGCAATGTGTTAATATATTTAACATATTGAGGGTAAATTAGAAATAGAAGATAATTTTCTGAACCTCCATAGCACCAGATTTAACAAAAGGCAAAACCGAGCTGCTTTAGCTTATCGGCGTGTCCTGATTTTTTAAAACGGCTCATTATATAATATATAATTATACTTGAACAGTTTCCTCGTAGGCATTGACTACTCTGCAAAATTTCCCCAATACAATCCTTTCCTTTATTTTCGGGCATTGGATTTGTACACCGTCTTGTACGCAGTTGTCTTCCCGTACCACACGTTACGTCACATGAAGTCCAACTTGACCAATGCGCCCATCGACCATCGACTGTAAATTAACAAAAAACTTTTATGAAAACATATATATTTTGTATATCAATTTAAATGAAATATACCGTACTGTTTACAACAAAATATTAGAAATTTGATACGAAATTGGATGTAAAATAGTTTATGGTCCGTTTCCTAGCCTGATTTGATTTAAAAGCCATTAAACGCTTCTCATTTTGGGGTAATGTTGTCCAATAAAGAGTATTATTATAAAACAACAAAAATTTCATTCATTATCTATAATATTAAATAAATAAAACCAAAAAGTTACCAAAGACCAAGTTTCTACAAAATTGTAAAAGAGAAAAATTAAGAAATGGAAATTGTTATTTAATATCCTAAGACAAAGAACTACTGACAAAACATGATTACTTTTATTAAACGGTTTATTATCTGATCTATAATAATATACTTGAACAGTTTTCTAGGAAGCATTGACTACTCTGTAAACTTTCCCCAATACAATCCATTCCTTTATTCTCGGGCATTGGATTCGTACATCTTCTTGTACGAAGTTGTCGTCCCTTACCACACGTTACGTCACATGATGTCCAAATGTGCCCATCGACCATCGACTGTTAATTAACAAAAGGTTTCATCACACACATGCACGCACGCAGGCATGCACACACGCACGAACCTATTATTTTACATATATGATCCGGTCACTTACTGTTTTAAACCCATTTTGATATGAATCCAAACTGTCATATCATCTTTTAAAACATACTCCCTTACATTAAATTTTGTACAAATCTTAGGTCATATACGGACCCTTACGAATATAAAGATAGTGTAACGAAATTAATGTTTCACATCCTTTAGCATTTAGTTCAAGTAACACAGAAAAGGGTTTAGAAAAGGGTGAGACAATCTTGAAGGCAATGACGGTGTGAGCAGCAACAAAGTGTTTCTAGAACGGTGAAACAATTGTCACTCATTTTGGTATTAAAAACCGACAAAGAAAGAATTACTTTGGTGTTAAAATATCATAGATGCCTTTAACACAAGATATAATGAAATAATTCGCTCAAGTTGAAAATCATATTCATACAGGATTTTCTCTATTTCTAGCAATACAAGTACCTGGACAACTGTCTTTTGAACATTCAGCGGTTTGTAATGTTTCTCCAATACAATCGATTTCAGTATTTGCTGGAACTTGATTTGTGCAAGTTCTCGAGCGTTGATGAGTTCCTTTGCCACACGTGACATCACATTCAGCCCAGCTTGACCAGTGTGTCCATCGACTATCGACTAGAAATTATTTATACTTTTATTACACACCCTCAGCATCAAATTGAATACACGCCATTACGTAAGAAGGTGAATGGTCCGATGCGCAGGAGAGTATTCTTTCAGATATAATTTCTATTTTAAGATAAAGTCTTTTTTAGGATATTATAATGTTAAAGGAAATGCCTTTAACAGTATAGGTTTTAAGGAATATGCCATTATGTAGAATACGCAAAACAATCTGGTATGTATTATAGAGCGAAACGATTTAGAAATATATTGATAGAGCACATTATAAGATACCAGGTTACGCATGCGTTTACTTGATGCAAAGTCATTGCCTGATTGAATAAGTTAATAATGCACAAGATGAGAGTCGGTTTAGGGATTAAACTGTTTTTGCAACTTTTAACTCAAATGTCTTAGCAAAATCAGTGAATAGAATTTGTTTAAGATTTTAAGTCAAGCGATTTCGTATTTTCAAGTGTGAAATTACAGTAAATCAATAAATTTAATTTTTTCAAACTTTCAATAGAAAAGTGAATTAAAAAATCTTCCTACGTCTTGTAATTAAGCTATTTTCTATTACACTTTAGACACACTACCTGGACAGTTGTCTTTTAAGCATTCATTGCTCTCAATACTTTCTCCAATACATTGAATTCCTTTATTCGTAGGCACTGGATTTGTACCTGTTCTTGTCCGTATGTGTGTTCCGTTACCACATGTTACGTCACACGATGTCCAACTGGACCAATCTTACCAATGACCATCAACTTGATTTTTGAAAATAAAATGTGTATAGATCTACAGATATTCAAATGAATAAAGCTATAAACATTTTTAAGTAACATAAATTTAATTTTATTAAATGTTTATATGAACATATAATCATTGATATACACATTTTTGTATTGAATTTCATTCATCGAAATTATAAACAAAAACAATTACTTACCTGAATGTTTCGGCACAAACAGGATTATTACTAAAGAGATGAGTGTAATGTAAAGAACAATTATCAGCACTGTCATGATATATATCACATATTTTAGTCGCTTTAAGTTATTTTCCTGAATTCCGGTTTCAACTTTAGGTTTATTTAAATCTTCTAATTTAAGTGTTTCATAAAGGGAATCTTCAACAGTTTGTGTCCTAGATCCGGTATGTCTTTTGGAGACGATTGTGGTGTTTTCATATACAACAGTATCCTTCCATAAACTGGGTTCAGTAATATCAGATTCAATAACATCCTGATCCATTTTTATGAAACATAAGATTTGAATATCACCTTCGCCAATTTACAATCAATAGACGTACAGACATAACGCTTCCGTTTTGATGCAACAGTTAAAACTGTTATCTTATATTGACAAAATAAATAATCTTATAGATAAAAACTTAGTTACGAAATATGTCGTAAGATAGATTCAAAGCTTTTATTACTTCCCGATGGCTTGTAATTTGATTTTTTTGCACTGCTTAAAAGGCACATTAACTATAGTAAGGAGCAAAATGTGTTTTAGCATGTTGTATTAATAAATTTAGAGCATGTGAATGGCTTACAACTAGTAGACACTGAATGTGAAATATTTTCTAATTATCTATCCTTTGTCACTATCTATGTACTTTAACTTAATTTAAAGTCTTTGCTGAGGTTTCCTTTCTTTTTCTTGATCATGCTTTCTTTGTGTTAGTTTTCTTACTCTTGTCCATCTTTCTTGTCTTAATTTTTTTCTCATATCTTTCTTTCACTAAATGTCACCCTTGCTTACACCTTTCTTTTTCTGTTTCTTCTTTTAGCAGACTGTTCTTTTGTAGAGATCTTTGGTGTCATTTATGTTTTACACACTTATTTTTATTCTATATTTTCCATGGATATTGAGGTATGAAAATCATAATTACTTCTTGAAATTGGAACTCTTTGTCTGATTTTTCTTCTAGTCAGTTGATTATCATTTCCACATGTATAACATTCCATTTTGTCTAAAGTTTTGGAATTATGCTCATGTTTTAAAGTTCCTCTTACACTGCTCCTTGGTGCTTTGAATTACTTTGTAAAGGGAGGAGGAAACTTTATTCATATGTAATTTTTTTTTCAAGATGTCTACTTATATTTTTTTAAATTGTTTTCAAAATTGCCTCATTTACGTACATTTGTTGTACTTTAAGGTTTTGAAAAGAAAAACAACAATAAAAATATGTCTGTCAAAAATGTTTCTCTAACAACACAGGAGGTTTGAGCATGTCCGTATTGATACATTCATGATTAGTTTCTGTTTCAAAACCAGTAGGGGTTGACTGTGTTAACCAGTCAAGGTAGACTGTGTAACATGCCAGAATTTGAAAATTTCTGAACCATTCTATCAAAATTGCTAGTAATATTATAATTATCTTCATTTTGAATGCATGCCACTTGGACCAATTGCATATAAGCTGTTGCTTATTTTTTGCTATGATTTTACATGTTGAAAACAATTTGTGTTCTGTCTTCCAGGATTGACTCTTGTTATTGTTTGTTGATTTTTACATTATTGTTATTGCCTATTATGTAGATATACAATGTTTTATAAGGATATATTAAATATTCTGAAGAAATTATCCAATGTTTGTATTGATTTGTAGATACATTTTTTCGTTCTGTCCATAATTTAAAGCAGCATGCTTCCAGATTCATGCTAATTTTCATGAAAATTTTGAAAACATACTCTAAAGTAAAATATTGTGAAGTAACAAAGAAAGTAATTTACACTTACATTCCACGCAAATTACCAAAAAGAGGTCAAAACATGCAGTTACGCAGTAGAAATATGGTAATAAGTACTGCAATACCAGTCTTACTCGAACCTGTAAATTATTACTTTAATCTTGAATCGTTTTTACTTAAAATCTTAATACATTTTCCCCCCAAGTTTGGTTTTCTTGAAATATTTGGATCATCTGGAGGCATGCAGCTTTAAGAACATGTGACCGTTCTTTTTCAAACTTTGGATGTATATTGCAGTAACGGCCATCTATTTTACTCTATTTAGAAAAATAAAACAAAACAACACAACAACAATTATTAGCCCCATGGCCCTATGACATCAAATTCAAAATGGTAGTATACGAAAAGTTTATTTTGCAGAAAGCATAATTATAATAATATATAAAAAGTTTGGATATCAGAACATGGATTTTACAACAGACAAAACACGAATCGTGGATTAACATTTTCAATATTCAAAAATTTGCGCATGCATGTATAAGTAAAGATAAAGAAGGTCTGTCCACTACCTGTTAACTAAATACCGTAGGCCTTTGTTAAGAAATGAAGTTTGTGAGGAATAAAAAAGCTGATTGTAGACAAGTTAAAAAGTAGAGGTTCATGTAAGGTGTGTCTAAGGATAGAAAGACAACTCTTAATTATTTTTCATCAGGTTATACAATTGTACAACACCATGCCATATAACAATATTAAATATTTTACCATATAGTAGTCTAGGAACCGGATAAAAGCTACTGACACAACAGCAAATTATAACATTCTGTATAATTGCACATCATGCCTCAGAATCGAATAAACTTACTTCTTTAGGGAGGGCACGCATTTGTTTTATAACGCTTAAATGAGCCGCGTCACGACAAACCAACATAATGGGTTTGCGACCAGCATGGATCTAGATCAGCCTGCGCATCCGCGCAGTCTGATCAGGATCCATGCTGTTCGCTTACAAACCCTCTTACAAGCAGAGATAGCGAACAGCATGGATCATGATCACTGTGCGGATGCACAGGCTGGTCTGGATCCATGCTGGTCGCAAACGCATTATGTTGGTTTTGTCATGACGCGGCTCAAATAATGGTTTTTGAGCATGTAAGACGATTCTTACCGAAAAGAAAGTGTTAACAAAGTAGTATTTTGACTTCGATATAAAATATTAATTAAATCACTTTAACTGTACTTATGGCCAAATATCAACAGAAGAAAGAAGATGGCAGGTGAGTAACGTTTTGGAAACTATAGAAGTACACCAAAAATAGAAAGATTTTAAGAAATGAGAATTAAAGCATTTTTTGGCCATAATGTGCCTTAAATAAAACAATATAGTAATATAAAACAAATATCAAGAAAACATTACACCACAAGCACACAAACCAACGGTTACTCAGATATAACCTATCAAATTAATTTGATATTAAATTAATAAATGATTGAATTTGGAACTGTCCATCCCAGGATTCCAGTAAATTCGATTTACTTTTTAAATACATAGCATGTCTACATTGGTTATTTAAACAGCTATTATTCTTATTCAGGCTTTTTTTAAGTTAAAAAGCGTTTACATATCCGCAATATACTGGAACCACTAAAATCTAATAACTTTGATTAATGTTGATTAACCACAGGCAGTCGGTGCTTGCTTTTAATTTCATCCATATATTCTACAAATTATTCAAAGTATATATATATGGATGAAATTAAAAGAACTACGCACCAACTGCCTGTGGAACTAACTAGCATCTTTATGGAAGTTTAGAAAAATAAAAATATCATAACTTTACAAGTTGATCGAAATTTTGTGCTTGATCCTAAAATTGATCCTTACTTTGAATGAATTATCCTTGTATTTTGCAGTGTTATGTTTCTATATATCAGCCATAAATTTTATCTAAAACTATGGGTTGAAATAATATTTTATCCAATCAAATTGTTTTTATTTTCATAATCATTGATACAGTGATTTAATTCTTTAAATCTGCACCAACTTGTCATTTATACTACATCGTTAAATCAGCGAGTCTTACTCTATAGCTTTGTTAATTTCAACCACTTTATTGGTTTGTGTTCGTTATATCGTCATTAATTCCATTAAATCTGTCGCGCGACTGTGTCGCGTCAGACAGATTTAAATTCATTAACGCTTACTTACAAACACTTACACATTAGTTTGTTTCTTTGCTATTCAAAATTTTTTAACATTGTGCTTATGTACCATACCATTTAAGTGTGATATAAGCAATGCTAGTTTCAATATAATCAGGACGTTTGGTCCTATTTGTGGAACATGGGACCTGGATAAGAAAAGAACATTGGGGCTTGAATAAGAAAAGAACATTTGGGACCTGAATAATAAAAGAGCATTTACAAATAAATATTTTGATAGGTTCAGGACTTCTAGACGGTTAGTGCCCAGTTTTTTTCTAAATAACCATGTGAATAACCATCACTTTCGTCAGTGAAATATCAGCCAGAGTTTGTGTTCAAAGATTGCACATTAAACTGCTACATGTGCTAGTTAAATGTATATAAGATACCATAAACATTCGGATAGCTGAATATACAATTTTATGTTCTACCAATACGCATGGGTGTTAATAGAATATTAGCTTGTAAAAAAAGAAATTATTTAATCGATATAATAAAAATCGATATTTAATCTAATATAACAAATCTATTACAAATTTTCAAAACTCAAAACATTATATGCTATAATGGAAGTGCAATCCAGTAAAGTTTATGAGAAAGACGACAATTCCATAAAGACATCCGGCTTGACAAATGAGGTAACCATGATACGTCAGTGGCTCCAATGTCAAGGTCAGTGTGTCAATGCTGTCATGGTAACTAAATATATATAACATGTCCATTTACTGAAAATGAAACTGCTGCAAAAAGTACTGCAATTAGTCAGTACAATACGAAAGACTTCCTGAGTTCTCGGGTTCATCTTTTCGAATTCATAATTTTAACTTCATAAATTCACGATTTCGACATACAGAATTCTTAATTTCAACATAAAGAATTTACGAGTTTAACTTGTTTAACTGAAGTCACGAATTCAACTCCGTGAATTCACTATTCTTATTTCATGATTTCACAATTTCAGCTTCGTGAAGATGAAATCTTGAAATCGGGAAGTTGAAAACATTCATGAAGTTGATTTTGTGAATTCATGAAGTTTAAACAGTTAATAAATGAAGTTGAATTCGTGAATTCGTGAAGATTAAACCGTGATTCATGAAGTTGAATTCGTGAATTCCGTATGTTGAAGAGTTCACGAAGAAATCGGAAATTCATGCAACGGTCTTTAGATGTTTTATCACATTTATAACTTAATAATAACTGCTCATTTGTTAACTACTAAAAACTTTATTCTGAAATTGAATACTATGTCTTGTACACAAATTTATTTATTTAGTTAATACTGTTTAAGCCCTATATGCTTGAACACGTTACAAGGGGAGTAATTCTTGATGGTTTAATTTTTTACGGTAGATGACGGTTGTACCGGAATTTAGCAGTCTACCTTTCCATTCGCCATCTTGTACAAGGGAAGGTCAAACTTTTGGACAGGGTGTATATTTTTGTAAAATAATCATGTTTAAGTTTAAATGTATCTTGAAATTTTGGTCATAATGGATGGATTAAACATTTGTAAATAAGCAGGAATACTTTTGATATTTATTTACATTGTTTTATATGTGGATTGACGCGGATTTTGATTTAGTAAATTTTATCACATTGTATAGGAAGCAGCCATTATCGGAAAATATTTGCGTCGGTAGTTCTACAAATGTTAGATTTGGATGTTTGATTATATATTTACACTTTAATTGTCTGGAAATTTAATAGGTAATTGGAATTATAAGTGTTTGAGCTAGGCTGATTGGCAATTTTGATCACATTGTTTAAGCAGCCGTTATCGGAAAATGATTTCATCGGTAGCTCTACCAATGTTAGAAGGATGTAAGATTATTTATTTACATTTTATTTGTTTGAAAATTTATTGATTGAGCAAGGCTATATGATTATAATATATCATTAGTTTTATAATTCTGCCTCAGGGATATAAAATAAGTAGAGAAATTTCAATGAATGGCTTTTTATTTCTGTAAACACGTTTTTCTATATATCACTTAAGGTACAAAACCAAACAGTTCCGAATACTATAATTAATACCAGAATACTACTATATCGTTGTCATCTATAATCTTAGGTGTAACACTACTAAATATTCATTTACTACATTCTTCCCCTCTTTAAAGAAAGAAGTATGAGTTCATATACACATACAAGTCACACTTTTTATATTGTTTACATATTAATACTATTTTGTCTTGACTAGAACTGTCCAAAATAAACTAGATTTTAATCTATTACAAAGATCTCGTGAACAGTGTTATATACGTGAGACTGTCTGAAAAATTAAACTTGTTGTTTTAGAGACATGCAAAATTTACAATATGACCATAAGAATACTGAATTTAAACAGAACCAGAGTTCTGTAGTGCATCACCGGCATTATTATAGCCTTAAACACAATGTATGCACTAATATTTGGTTAAGCACTAATATTTGGTTAAAACATAATCTTTCAGTCTTTGTGGTGTTTTAACGATACGTTTCGGTCTTTCCTTCACTGGACTTGACTCAGTTGTTCCAGAAGTTAGCACAGGTGAAGGCGGTGGGTTTGAAGGTAGTTGATTAGGTATTGGTTCAAGTGGTTGAGATGGTTGAGACGAGACCTCCACCGAAGGTTCATGGTTTGGGACACAACCTTCAGAATGTGTAGAATTCTGATTGGGAGCCTGCAACTCACTCGAGGGCTCACTAGATGACCACTCTGTATATCGCGCAATTAGATGGTCAACATGACAGAATCTTAGACGGTTGTTGCAACGTACCAAATAGGAAACGGCTCCAAGTACCTTATGAATGACACCTGGTTTCCACTCCCATTTGTTCCCATTAATTGTGGTCTTTACGGCCACTCGATCACCCTTTTCGAATATTCTCAATTTTGAAGATTTATCATGATTGACCGTCATTTTCGTTTGACTGTCTTTTACTTTACTGTCTTTAGAAGGTTTTACTAAACTCAACCTTGTACGTAACTGTCTATTTATGAACAACTCACACGGAGCAATCCCAGTGGTAGTATGTGGGGTTATCCTGTATTTTAATAAAAAGTCCGCAAGAAGATGTGTAAGACTTAAAGTGTTGATTCTTGTACTATTATCCTTAATTCTTGCTTTCAAAGCATTTTTAACAATCTGGACAGCTCTTTCTGCCTGTCCATTTGAAGATGGGTGATAAGGGGGAGTAAGTGTGTGTTTAATACCCGTCGTTTTCATAAAATCCTTGAAAGTAACTGATGTAAACTGTGGACCATTGTCTGAAACCAGTTCCTCGGGTAATCCTGTGTAACTAAAAATACATCTTAGTTTGTCAATTGTTTTTTCACTTGTTGTGCTTTTCATTGGAAGTACTTCAAGCCACTTTCTGTAACTGTCAATTAATATCAAAAATGACTGGTTCTTAAAATCTGCAAAGTCAATATGAATACGTTCCATAGGGCGTGAAGCGCGAACCCAAGGATGTAATGGTGCTTCTGCCGGGATTTTTCTCAACGACTGACACGTTTCACAGGTGGCCGCAATGTGTTCAATTTCTGCGTCCAAGTTAGGCCACCATACATAACCGCGAGCAAGAGATTTCATACGGTTTACTCCAATGTGTTGATCTTGCAGTTCTGTGAGAATAGTATTCTGCAAAGTCTCTGGAATTACCACTCGTAAGCCCCAAAGTAACACTCCATGATCAAAACTAAGCTCAAATCGTTTGCTGAAAAATGGTCGTAGCCTTGAATCATTATTATGTTTAGGCCACCCACTTAACACGAAATCAATGACTTTACTCAGAAGTGGAGATTTTCTTGTTGCATTTGCAATGACACTAGCTTCAACTGGAAGATCCTCAATGAAGGAAACTAAATCCTCTGAATCTTCAACCTCCTCACTTATTATAGGCAATCGTGATAACCCATCACAGTTGCTATGCGCCGAAGACTTGCGATACTTAATGTCATACTGGTACCCTGATAGAAGAATTGCCCATCTTTGTAAACGGGAGGCTGCTAAGGTAAGGACTCCTCTTGTAGGACCAAATATTGTTGTCAACGCTGTATGATCAGTTAAAAGTGTAAATTTACGTCCATAGGTATATTTGTGAAATTTCTTCACTCCGAACACAATTCCAAGAGCCTCCTTCTCTACCTGAGAGTAGTTTCTTTCAGCCGAACTCAAAGTCCGAGAAGCGTACGCAATGGGTTTCTCTGTACCATCGGCCATGACATGGGAGATAACTGCACCAAGACCGTATGCCGAAGAGTCACATGCTAAAATCACAGGCTTCTTTTCATCATAATGAACAAGTACCCCTGTACCTGAAAGTTCTTCTTTGGAGCGATCAAATGCTTCTTGACATTTAACTGACCATTCCCATTTTTCTCCTTTACGTAACAATTTATGTAATGGATGAAGCATTGTGGACAAGTTTGGCATGAACGAACCATAATAATTTAAGAGTCCCAGGTAAGATTTTAGTTTTCCCACATCTGTAGGCACTGGTGCTTTCATAATGGCCTGAACCTTGTCGTCCGTAGGATGGATACCCTCTGCATCTATACGATGTCCCATAAATATAACACTTTCAGTCATGAAAACACACTTGTTTACATTCAACTTAATGTTGTGAGCATGAAGGCGTTGCAACACCTCCTCAAGTCGCTGAAGATGGACCTCATCAGATGGAGCTGTAATAAGGATGTCGTCTATACGGCACACAACCCCAGAAATACAAACTAGTACAGTGTCCATTACTGACTGAAATATCGCAGGTGCAGAACTCACTCCATAGGCTAAACGATTATATTTGTACAATCCCATATGTGTGTTGATTGTTAGTAAATCCCTGGAGTTCTTGTCAAGTTCAAGCTGAGCGTATGCCTGCGTAAGATCCAACTTGGTGAACTTTTTTCCCCCAACAAGTTTGGCAAACATATCATCAACATTTGGTAGTGGATATTGGTCTTCACTTATTTCCCTATTAATTGAAACTTTGTAATCCCCACACAGGCGTAAACTTTTTTTGTCTGCCTTGGGTACCACAACTAGTGGACTTGCCCAGGAGCTGTTATCAACATGTTCAATAATACCATCTTTTTCAAGAATTTTCAATTCTTCCGTCACTTTGTCCTTTAGCGCATACGGTACTGGACGAGCTTTGTGAAACCATGGTTTGCTGTTGTTATTCAAGTGTATAGTTGCAGTGAACCCTTTAATTGGTTTTTGATTTTTTATGAATACTTCCGCGTATTTTTGTTTTAAAATTTCTACAGAACTAATGTCATTAAAGTGATCAACTTTATTAACACATGCAAAAATTGTTTTCCAGTCTAGATGTATTTCTTTCAACCAATCACGACCTAACAAATTTGGCTTATTTCCTTTGACGATTATAGCTTTTAATAACTTTCCCTCACAATATACAGTTATTTCACCTAAAGTGTCTATGCTCTGACCCGAATAACTTTTAAGCTTAGTTGTTAGTTGGACAACGTTTATTACAACTGAACTTGTCGTGGTAAGTAGCTTGATTGATCAAAGTTCTTGAACTACCTGTGTCTAGTTCAAACAACACATTTTCATTATCAAGCATCAAACTTGCCTTGAATGGTTGATTTGATTTGTTATCTGAATTTGAATAAACCAACAACACAACGTCATCATCACTTGATTCTTCAACAAAGTTAGTTTTCTTCACTTTTCGATTTCTACATTTGTTTGCTAGGTGACCAATTTTTCCACAATTGTAGCATTTACTATTTTTATGCATACAAGAATCTGAATGGTGATTCCCATTACAACGATAACACTCATATTTCTTACGCAAAGTAGTACCCGGCTTGGTATCAGACTTCTTCACTGTGGAAAATGACTTTGTTTTCACTTTATTGACTGTGGCTGTTTCAACACCACCAAAGGACACTGTATCTTTCTCAGCCATTTCCATGGCAGTACTAATCTTCACAACCGAATCGAATGTTAAGGCTTCCTCAGCTAACAGTTTCTTTTGAATTGTTTCTGACCTTAAACCACAGACTAACCGATCACGCAATGCGTCCTCCAAAAATGTTCCAAAATCACAGTAAGTAGACAAACGTTAAGTTCAACCACATACTCGGATACATTTTCTCCCTCTTTTTGATTGCGTTTATTAAATTTGAAACATTCAGAAATGGTTAGAGGCCTAGGGTTATAATGATTTTTCAAGAGTTCCACAAGCTGAGCATATGTTTTATCCTTGGGGAGTGCAGGTGCAACTAGGTTCTTAAGAATACCATATGCCGACGATCCTATCACTGACAGAAAAACAGGAATTTTTTTTTCATTCGGCACTTCATTAGCTTCGAAGAATTAAGACAACCGTTCTTCGTAGTTTAGAAAGCTTTCCATGCTCTCTTGAAATTCACTTATCTTCCCAAACAAAGGCATGTTGATAACAAATGTTTATACTCGTCGCCACTTTTATAATTCTGCCTCAGGGATATAAAATAAGTAGAGAAATTTCAATGAATGGCTTTTTATTTCTGTAAACACGTTTTTCTATATATCATTTTAGGTACAAAACCAAACAGTTCCGAATACTATAATTAATACCAGAATACTACTATATCGTTGTCATCTATAATCTTAGGTGTAACACTACTAAATATTCATTTACTACAATTAGGTCGAACGCAGGCCTGCTCACTGAAGTAATGTGAAGTGGTGCGAGACCACTAAATTTATTCATGCAAAGATTAAAGTTTAATTTATCAAGGTTTGCATGTTAACAGTTTTATTGAAAAAAAAAAAAACATTGTAAATTCTTGATCAATCTATTTACTTTTTAGTTTCAAACAGTCTTTTACAGTTGAAGCATCCTTTATCTCTGGTTCATCATCCCTGGGTCTGACAGCTTGACAAAAGGTTTTTCTTAGGTCGAAGGTGGTATAGTATAGATCTATATTATTCTCAAGTATTCAAGATGTCAAATAAACAACAAATTTATTTATTTAGTTAACGGACATGAACTTTAATACCATAATCAGAAACATATTTAGTGAGCAATTAGCATCAGTCAATCTTATGCCAACAATGCATTCTTATCAGTTAAATAAAAAAGAATACCATCTCCCTGATTCAGTTGAATTCAGCAAAAGCAAAATTTTAGACAAAAATGTTAATTCACAAGCACTGTGAATCTCTATAAATGCGTTACTAAGCATCAATATCTTAGATTAAAAAAAAACTGACTATACAAAATCCATCTAAAAATCCGATGAGTGTCTTTAATTCCATAACATGATATCGAACTTTTAGCAAAAGTGCTTTAAATGTCATCACGAAATATTCATTTTTTCACGACCACAGACTGATATTGTTATTTTACAAAACACTGTACATATTGGAAATAAGATTATTCGAAACAACAGATTTAGTTAAGAACAATTTTTTCCGGACAAATGCAAAATTCAATTGTTGTCATATAGGAGAAATCCAGTAAACGAAGACCAAGAACTCATGGTTGTGCTTGGATCGCTGCATCCAGTAAGGTACACAGTGTCCCCAACATCAAGATCAATCACGATAGACTGAGATACAGCAGCATGTCCTTTGTCTGTATCATCGTCAGTTGGATCAACGTATATGTAAATCAAATCCTGTCTATTCTTGAAAAGATAGCAATATACTCTATCAACCCTTAATGGTGCCCGTTTCTTTACCAGTGTAACAGAAAAATGGTACACACCGGCTTTGTGACATGTGTAAGTTCCTGTCGAGATATTAAAATCATTACCATACTGGTAAATTGTACTGGAAAAGGTAAGTCTGTCATTGATAATGATGTATGTATTGGTATCTGGACTTTTTACAGAAAATGCAGACTTGAATGCTGAAATATATAATAGACATACATAGTATTGGCAACATTGATTAGTTTAAATTTTTTCTTTTAACTTTATTCATATTTGTTGAATTTCATGTAAATCTAACAAACTAATGTTAGATAAAGATAAACATTTTCCTTAAACCAAGGTACGAGATTCTGTAGATCAGCCTCATTTCTATATTGATTTCATTCATTACAATTTTCTTTCCAATAAAACATTTGACCAACCAGTTTTTATGTATGGTTCCGAAGGTAAGTACGGACGGACAGCGCGATTTCAATATCCCTTTTCAGATAGGCGGAGGTTAATAACTACTTTACAGCAATTGCCTCAATGAAACAAGTATTTTATACAATGTCACAAAGCCGGTGTTAAATTTTATTTTGGATTAAAAATAAACATTTAAATTTCATAATCTCCTTTTGTAATGAATACAAACAAGACTTAAAATACAGACATCAAGTATGTTTAAAATAAGAGGGGTCTAAGAACTGATAGTATAACAATAAAGGAAAGTATGCTGATTGACAAAATATGGGTGGACATTGAATGATTAAATTGTTTGAGACCAATTACGTTTGAATTGATGTACGAGTAATTAATGGTTTCCTTGAACAATAAAACACAGTCCCCATCAAGTCCCCCATATCTCCTATTAGACGATATTCGGCTTCGGCATATAAGTTTGCAACGTTTCGGTCATACATGTCTTGGCAAAAGTAAATGTATGAGCAATTGGTTAATAATGTGTTAGAGTAGAGTTATAAGCTATCATAACCATTTCATCCTCTAAATATATGTCATACTTCTTTCTCAAGAAAAGTCGAATTCAAGAATATTCAAGCAAGTCAAGAATATTGACTTTGACGCCATTATTGTAGGATTATTTCGATTTTATAAAGAATAGTAAAAATAAACCCCAAAACATGTATAACATAAAAATTTCATTTAAAAATATTCTAAGAAGATTTTACTTATGATAGTGTTAAAATTATTCGAAGGTTGAATTTGTAATTCTCCAATTTATTCCTTTAATATTTTCTACTATGCAACAATTGTTGTTGTTTTCTTTTTCAGAAGGCCACATTGGAAATAAGATATATATGATTGCTTTTGTATTTTATTAATGTGTAACCTTCTTTAAATAAAGATATTATTATTATTATTATTATTATTATTATTATTATAATTATTATTATTATTATTATTATTATTATTATTATTATATCATAATGCAACGACCTGGACAGGCGTCTTTGGAACATTCATCAGTTTCTCTTATCGCTCCTGTACACTTGAGTCCACCATTAGCTGGAACTGGATTTGTACATGTTCTCGAACGTTGACGAGTTCCTTTTCCACATGTGACGTCACATGAAGTCCAGCTCGACCAGTGTGCCCATTGACCATTGACTGAAAACATTCTATGTCAATGTTAACAATGTAGTTAGTTTATTTCTACTTAAATTTCAAGATATGTTCATGAAGTTTTCACAATTATTATAAAGTCTTAGGCTTATAGTCCGAGTCTATGCAAAGTAAAGTAGTATGCTGCTTATACAAAATCTGCTGGTTTTTAAAGATACATGATATGATATGATTGAATATGGATATGTATTGCCTCAACTGTAAATGAACAAGTGGCATATCCATTTTATTGGGCAAAAAAACCCAATTAATATTAGTTTATGACGCATTGCCAATTTCCTGCAAGATGATACTTAGCTTGACATGCTGACCTGGAACGTTCGAATAATGAATATATGTCTTGGCCAAAACTTTAAACAATATATACTGATAATATTTAAAAAAAATGACAATAAATATGTCACAATTGCTTGCGTATCTCAGGGTTTTCCAAATAGAATGGTCTAAAGTCGTACCAATTTTACAAAAAAAGTTGTCTCGGCTGAGTCACGTGAAAAAGTTATCTACCCATCGTGATCTGGCATAATGTATCACCATTTAAATCAAATTATCAGATAATATTTTGTTAAAATGATAAAAAATAAACTGTAAACTAATCCTGGCTACATTATATTATCAATACAAATGTATTTACTTTAAAATGTAACAATTTTTAAAATTTGCAATGAAATTAGGAACTTTTCATTCTCAGTGTGAAGGTAAAAATCTACTGCTTATATTTGAAAATAGGTCTGAGTTTCATGAGCTTATTTTTTAAATTATACATTGTTGAAGATTTCATAATATTTCTTGATATTATTTACAAATATTGATGTTTAATTTGGTGTATTTTCAAAATAAACTATGATTTTTAACAGATCATGGCTTTGAAAACATTACTTACTGAAATAATTATCTTTTTTCACAAGTTAAATGTTTTTTAAAGAACATCATGTCATTAGAATTCTCATTTTTGCTCTCGTTTTAAATGTTTCCACTTTTGTTTAACAGTTACATAATTTGTGTGTAGTAAATCATACCGAGTTATACCGTTGTAGCGAGAAGGTTTTACATAGCGTGTTTCCAAATCATACTATTTGAAAGACCCTGCGTATCTTTAAAATATTACAAGTTGTTTTTTTACCTTTTGCAGATTTTGAAACACAAGGAGTATGTGTAAGCAAGTATGAAATAAGAGTACATCAGTAGAATAACTAAAAAAAATGCGGTATAAGTATTTCTATGTCGATATGCTTTTTTATAAAATAATATAAAGTAAAAACATGGACAGTTGTCTTTTGAGCATTCATTGCTATGCAAAGTTTCTCCAATACAGTCATTTTCACTGGATTTGTACATGTTCTTAATCGTAGAACCAGTGCTATACACAATAATTTTTAACTAGAGGGCAGGCGCCGTGCAATAACTAATGTGCAGTGGAGTCGGAATTTGAGAATATAACAAAGAATTCACTATTTTTGAAATAAATAAGACCCATCAAAACTGTAAATCTAGAACTCCAGGGGAAGACAAGATATATTATGATATCCTAAAGAATTTCCCTGATGAAACTAAATTAGTTTTATTAAATCTATTTAATAAATTGTGGAAAGTTAAACATTAAAGTTATATGCCGGAACTGGATCTGTGCATGTCCTCGAACGTTAATGAGTTCCTTGTCCACAAATGACAGCACTAGACGTCCAGGTTGACCAGGGTGTCCATTGACCATTGACTAAGTATTATAGAGTGTGTGTTTGTGAATTTAAAAATCGAAATAGTTCATGGAAATGACCTTATTATTTTGAACGTTTACTAGAGATATTCAAACTCCATTGCTCTTAAGTTTTTTTTCACCCAAAATAAAGTAGCAAATTTTTTTTAAAGGAAAACAATAAATATTATATAGAAAAAAATCTGTGAGTTTCATAGATACACGATATATTTCAAATAAGAAGTACAATTTGTAATGTTGAAAGAAAACATTGAAAGGAAAAAACAACACAAAGAAACTTGAACTTAAGACTTTTGTATATGTAATGGTTAACTCCAAACAGTGATTTATTGAGCGATAAAATCACTGTTTGTGATATAATATTTCCTAAATACAGTACTGTAGTAGAAATGTTTTTAAACTACCCGAAGTGAATTTAAAGTAATATGATTATATTTCTTTGTCTCGAAATTAGTTTATTTTCTATATAAATTATTTAAAGTTAACACCTGGACAGTTGTCTTTTGAGCATTCACTGCTCTGCAAACTTTCTCCATTACAGTCACTTCCCTTATTCATAGGCATTGGATTTGTACATGTTCTTGTTCGTAGTTGTGTTCCGTTACCACACGTTACGTCACACGAGGTCCAGCTTGACCATTGTGCCCAACAACCGTCGACTGGATTTATATAATAATAAAGATATATTTAATGTATACAGCTAGATAAAAAAACTTAAGTAAGCATGACTTAAAATTTATTGAATATATTTTTGTTCTAAAATATCATAATTTTTCAAGCTTTTGATACTTATGATAGTGCCACAAATATGAAATACAATAAAATGTACCTGGTTTCTTCGGAACGAACAGAACAATGACCAACGTGATTAGAGTGATGTAAACAACACTTATCAACACTATCAATACATAAATCACATATTTCAGTCGCTTCAAAGTATCGCCATTTCCACTTTCAACTTTTCTTTTATCAGATTCACCATATTTTAATGTCTCATAAGGTTGCTCTTCAATTTTCTTTGACTGTGATTCGGTAGAACAACTTTCAGTCGAAATCTTTAAGTTCTCATATGCAATCTCATCATTTGATCTACTTGTGTCCATTTCAATATCATCCAATTCCATTTTGAAATATCATAAATTCAACTTAAAATATATTAAGTATAAAATTATAATTTGTAGTTGAAACGATGTTACTTATTGTTTTTATCTTTATACATTTTAAAAAGCATTTGTGGTTAAATCCATAACAAAGTACCCGGGTATTATAAACTTGATGTTAACTACAAGATCTAATAATTTATTTTTAAAACTTCCTTGTGTCAGACAGTTTCTCCTTCATAACGATTTGTTACATATGGAAACCTGTAAGGGCTATTTCATTTGCATTCATAATCAATGATTGCATTATAAGTATATGAAACTAAGAGCCTATAAATCAGACAGCAGAGAGTACGGAAATTGACACTTGTTCGACGAAAGAAGAAACAACACGTCCGGCTCTACATTCCTCACGAATAAGATAAGTACTACAGAATTATATAATAATTTGCACAGTAAAAATTGTACACTACCATTTAAAAATGTAACTTCTCGGCACGTTCCGTCAAACTTCGAATAGGAACATCAGGAACATGAGTATGTATACTTTGGCAACACATTTTTTAAACATACAAAAAAAAACCAAGAGAGCAGTTATCGCCCTTAATCGCTCACCAGAGATACATTGCAAGAAAATGTTAAAGCCAGAAATAACGTCATATTGTGTTTGTCATTATTTTCCCTAGGCTACATATTTGTAAGCTAAGTGACCATCGGGCGCGGCAAATTTTGTGCCCTAGGGCATAACATATAGAACTTAAAAAAAAACATAAGGTGATGTTACATGCCAAATATCTAAGCTCTTGGTATTTTAGTTCCCACCGAGGCGCCTTTTAAGTTTTTTACTATACAAATAAAAGGATCCCAGGGATGCATCACATTCTCATCCTAGGGGTATTATTTATATAATTTTTGTAGAGGTGTACTTGGCGATACTATAAGACAAATATCTTAGCTCTAGGCAAACAGTTTAATAAAAAAGACGTAAATTTATTTTCCTATATAAGCCTTTGCAAACTAACCTACTTGTTCAGACTGGAACAGTTCATATCAATTTTGTAGAGGAATACTTAAGGGCCATTCCTGTAAATTTTGGTGGAAATCCACCAGGTTGTTTAGGAGAAGATGTTGTTTAAAGCAATTTTAGGCAACGACAGACGACGAATCATGGACACACTGGCACCACAAAAACACACATCGGAACACTTTGTGGTCACATAATCTAAAAACAGTAAATAAATATCGGAATTTGCTGTCATACTTTATTAAATAAAATCGTGTTAAAGTCGACTGAAAAATAACTACATTTAGAGATATATTATATGTTATTTGGGTTTTGGAGTGATTTTTCTGGATATATTACCTGCCACGATTTTATATGTTGACGATGTTTTCGATTTAGATTAATGATTCGGATTGTAAGAGATATGAAAAATATATATTTGTGGTTAACATGGCGCTGATATTTCATATTGGAGATAAGTTACAGGGAAATGACTGTCATTAAAGACTAATTATGACGGACAACTAAAAATACACGAAGCATTTATTTTCTTTGTTTTCGCATGAGCTGTGTAGTTTAGTGAGTGTAACTATTGGAAAGTAAAGTGCAGATTTGTTTCAATAAACTCCCATATGAACCTAAGTTTATTTATGGCTCTTTATGTTTTAGATTTTCTTATCAAAAAATATTACTGTGCGCAATTCTTTCCGTCGAATTGTCCAGTTGAATTTTTTATTGTTTTGTACTACATTGCCTCCAGCTGTAAACACAATATACCAAACAGTATACATGTATTTGTTGTAAATGCTTTCACACTAAATATCAAATTTATTTCATATATCAAAGTTCACGTAAGATTATCGGATTCTGTAGTATATTTCCTATATTTCTTATTTATATGGCGCTTTTCATTTACCTGATATTACAAAAGTAATTCGATATTCATATCAATTTGCAATGTTATTGTGACCATAACGCGCTTTCATAGAACATATATATGGGGATTAACCACCAGCTCATCTTGCATTTGTCGTCAAATTTCACACAAAGAAGTAAACAAAGTCAGTCAAGCGTTACTTATATATGTTTGAAATTCTGTTAAGATTTTATTTAAAAAGTTACATTTTATTAAGTTTTCACACAATTTATATCTCAACTATACGGTTAT